AAGTGAGGGGAGGAGGGAGGGCGAATAGAAGGAGAAACGGATGGCAGTGGAAAGAGTGGATAAAAGGGAATGAGGGGAAGATGGGGAGCAAACAAAGGGCGATGATGGACCGCTGCTGCACTACCCAGCACGTGGCAGGCAGCACGTGGCAGGCAGCACGTGGTAGGCAGCACGTGGTAGGCAGCACGTGGCAGGCAGCACGTGGCAGGCAGCACGTGGCAGGCAGCACGTGGCAGGCAGCACGTGGCAGGCAGCACGTGGCAGGCAGCACTTGGTAGGCACCCCAGGAGCACGAGCAAACTACCACCCCCATCACCAGCATAGCTGTCACGAACAGCAGCATACCTGAGGCGCGCATAGGGCATGTCCGCTAGCAGCGGCACAAAGTTCTCGAGCAGCCAGTGCCAGTACATCTCATCATAGTCCAGTGTCAGGAACTGCACGCAGGGGAATAGGGGAGGGGGAGGGGGAGGGGGAGGAAGAGGGAATGATTTTTGACTCGTGGCTCTGAAGGGCCTCGCAAGCGGCAAGAAGCTTTCAAGCAGCCAGTGATATATATATATATATATATATACATATATACATATATGTATACAAGTATACATATGTATACATATATATATGTACAAAGATATATGTATATATATATGTCTTTATATATACACATGTATGTATATATTCTAATGTGCATCTCCCATGGAGCGCAGTTGACATATGTGGATGGGCGGCAAGCAGCAAGAAGCAGCAGTGACCTGGAAGTGACCGGGGATGATGATCTTGCAGGGGGTGTCTGATGAGCTCCCATTGCTGCTCGTGCTGCTGCTGCTCTCCACCTCGGTAGCAGCAGCAGCAGCAGCAGCAGCAGCAGAATTGGCAGGTGGTGGTTTCTGCTTGGCGGGTGAATGGTGCTCCATCTCCCCTCCTGCCGCCACCCGCACATACTTGGCCGCATCCCTGCTCATGGCATTGGGATAACGAGGAGGAGAAAACGCAGGAGGACAGGTGAAAGGCCTAGATTTGAGGCGCGTCAACACTAGACTGACGCCACCCGCAAATACTTGGCCGCATCCCCTCTCATGGCATTGGGATAACGAGGAGGAGAAAATGTAGGAGGACAGGTGAAAGGGTTTGGGGGTGAGAGGGAGAGAGGGAGGGGGGAGTGGAGAGAGTGGAGAGGGGAGAGGGGAGGGGGGAGAGCGGAGAGCGGAGAGGGGAGGGGGGAGGGAGAAGGGATAAGGGAGAACAGCAGCATTTGCAGCAAAACAGCATCAGCAGCAGAGTGGTGAGCAGTAGCAGAAGCAGCAGCAGATCACCTGAGGATGCGGTCTTGATAGGGAGTGAGGTCGCGGTGGTGCAGGTGGGGCGAGCAGGCAGCGGCCATGGGCGAGGCTCTATCCACGCACACCTCTGTGCTGCCGCACCACGCACAGAAGCCGTCCCACAGGCAGTCGGATTGCAAGGCGTGCACGGCACACGGGTCTGATAGCACCCCGCACACACTGGTGGGATGGGAGGGCGGGGGGCGGGGGGCGGGGGGTGGGGGGTGGGGGAGGGAGGAAGGCAGGGGATGGGGAAGACACACAGACTTTTTGAGACGCGTCATGAGGAGAGCAGTGCGCATGGGTGTGATAGCTAGCTAGCACCCCGCACACGCTGATGGAATGGGAGGGGGGGAGAGGGAGTGAGACGTGATGGGATGGGATGGCATGGGGCGTCTCAAATTTGAGATGTCTGAAGGGGAGCTGTTGCAAAAATAGGTTCCCAGCTGTGCCGTCTAAAAAAAGCTGTGACTTTTGCAACGTTTGAAAGGGTTCCAGTGCACACCTGTGGTCGAGCAGCGGGCCGTGCGACTTGAGGCGGAAGGGGTCGGCGGCAAAGAAGCGCGCCACTTTGGCCTCCGCCTGCGCCAGCAGATGCAGCCCGTATGCCTCCCTCACCTGCACGTACTGGGGGTCGCTGGGGGGATGAGCAGAAGGGAGGAAGGGGGGAAGGGGCATGGGGCAACTTAGGCGAATTCTTAAAAGTGTCTCCAACACAGCAGATGCAGCCCGTACGCCTCCCTCACCTGCACGTACTGGGGGTCGCTGGGACACAGGGCAAGTGGGGGGTAGAAGGAGGGGCAGAGGGGGGCTCTGGAAAAAGTGTCTCTGACACAGCAGATGCAGCCCGTACGCCTCCCGCACCTGCACGTACTGGGGGTCGCTGTGGGCGAAGGGTGGGGGAGAGGGACGGGGAATGGAGGAAAATGGGAGGGAAGGGAAGGGGATAAGGGGAAGGGGAAAGAGATCGGAGGGCGGAGTGGCGTTGGAGTAAGGATGGGAACGAGGGAAGAGGGGTTGCAAAAAGAGGAATTCTGAGGAGGATTTGAGGGAGTGGGTTTGAGGGTAAAAGCCGAAGTAGGGAGGCGTATCAAAGGATTTCCCACTTCCGCTTCGGAGGGAGGGAAGGAGGGAGGGCTGGCAGGAAGAGAAGAAAGAGAGACGGGAGGTGGAGGGTAGGCAGGTGCGGTAAACGGTTGGAAAGAAATAGTTGAATTGGTTGAAATTGGTAGTGGGGGCGCAAACAGCAGCGGCAGCAGCAGCGTACGTACTCGGAGAGCAAGGGCAGCACGGGCTGCGGCACGTAGTCATGCCAGTCTATCACTCCTGCTCTGAACCGCTGCACTATGTACGGCACCTCGTACCCCCCCTGCTCCTCCGCCTTCCCCTCCTCCCCTGCCCCCACACGCTCCCCCACACGACCCCCCCATGCCTCTCCCACACCAACACCACCCCCGCCACCACCGCCACCATTCACCACACCCAGCTTCACAGCCTCTCCCCGTTCCCCCCCTGCAGCAGCCGCAGCAGCAGCAGCAGCGGTATCCCCATGAGCAGCTGCCCCCCCTGCCGCCTGCTTGCGCCCATCCGCGGCTCCTCCGCCAATCCTGGCCCCCTCCACCTTTCCCCCACCCGCCACGGCTGCGCCCTGCGCGCGTCCCCCCCCAGGCGGAGTGCCCACAGCGTGGCGCAACAAGGGTGGTGCTCTGTTGCCCGCACACGAAGGAAGGGGAGGGGCAGTAAGGGGAGAGGGGGTGTGGGGTTACGTACGAAGAGGGGAGCGGGTGAGAACGAGTGATGGGGCGAGAGAGAAAGAGAGAGATGTGAGAGTGCGACAGAGCGAGGGAGAGGGAGAGGGAGAGGAGAGAGAGAGAGGGAGATACGTGGACAGACAGAGGATGTGAACAAGTAAGACAACCAGTACAATCAACTATCCGCATCAGGTGACAGACTCACCCCAATCCGCTCTTCCCACGTGGCAGCGTCCCCGTATCCAGCGCGGATCGCCCTCTTGCTTCCGCGTCCCCGTCATGTCCGCCGACCGCAGCCTTGGCGGATCCCGCGGAGTGGCTGTGCGCGCCGTGCCTAGCGTGAGACGCGGCGGCTTTATTATGCGCGACGGACGGCGGCCCGCCGGGCAAGGGCGGAGAGTGCGCGTTTGCCTGCGCCGCTGTCTGCGACTGCGCGGCGGGGTGCGAGTGAGCGCGAGGGTGGCTGCCGAAGAGCCGGCCCCAGACGTAGAAATAAAAGAGGAGAATTCCGATGATCCACAACACGTGCTCCGCTTTTAACGGCCCGAAGAGGCGCTCCTCCGCGGCTGGCCGTGATCGGCGCAAGGGAGCGTGAGTGTGAGAGTTCAAAGGAGGCGCGTGCGCGTGCGGGTGGATGTGCGAGGAGTGGGAGAGCGGATGGGAGTGGGAGTGCGCGTGAGCGGCGGAGCGCGTTCCGTAAATCGATCCTGGTGAAACCATCGTGGCTCTTTGCACGAACAAGGACTGAGAATTGATCAAGGTGTAACGAACTGTGTCCGTTTCCAAATCGACGAATTGAGGTGATCAACGATGCCGCGTCGGAAAACCGTATCGCGAAGCAGCGATATGCAAGGCCGCCTCCTCCTCCTAGACCGTCGCGTCATGCATCACATGCTTGCTCCGCCAGCGTCATTCCAGGCCGGTTCGATGAAGATGTGATGCGAGCCATCCCTCCTCGCAGCTTTGGGGTGCACGTGGATCCCCATCGAACACTGGCAATCATGAAAGTCCATGCTGAACCACCGAATCACGGGGACCATCCGTTGACTGTCTGTTGGATCGGAACTCCTGTACGCTGGTGCAGTTTCAAGGTTCCGACCGACCCATCATGCATTGTGGTCCATGTGCCGCGTTCACGGGACGAAATCGCATCCCGTGCTGTTCCATCAAAGTTTCGTGAGTTCAGTTCAAGTACCGAAATGTGACACCAAAAACGAGACCCAAGGTGAAACACAGTCCGTATAGGTTCGACTTCAGCAAAATAGTTGCACACAGTCCGTAGAGGTTCGAGTTCAGCAAAAGAGTCGCTCGTCAGAGCACTTCCGGTCCGTCAACCTCCCGCGGAATGGGGCGAGAAGGACGTCCATCGTGGCTGGCGACACGCCTTCCGACGTAGACATCCGGCCAGCTTTCGCACTCAGAACCGAAAATCACGGCTCATCATCTGAGAGGACGTCAAGAGCCGTTACACGGAGGTACAACGAATTGTACGAACTACAGAACAGATCCTGTTCAAGTATAGTCGTGCTCATACGAGACAAACGTTTCAGGTAGATAGAAACATTCTATGTTTTGAACTGCTTGCTGGCGTAATTAGGCCACGTGGAGCTTGCGCCGTTTGGAATTGCAAGCAGCATCCCCTTGGCACATCCGAACTGTACAAATGAGAGGGATGGCCCACACTTGCACTCGCACACCGTTGTACTCTCGCGTCACCTCACCAAATCGGCGTTAGTCCTGGCCAAGCCAACCACGCAGAGACGTCGAGCAAGCATTCAAAGAGCGACGCGCTGTCGCGTTCGGAAACTCATGCATTGCGACCCATAATAATAGCCGAAGTCTTTATCTCTCTTCTTTATCGGAAGTTAGCAGCTCCACTGCAAACGATGCGGGCAGGTGACTGCACTTGAACCATTCCGTGCCGCCGACGATGGCGCGGCGAACTCAGGTTGCCGCTCCCTCCCGCTATGCGCGTCGTAGCCGTCAATTGCCGTTGAAAGTATGCCTCTCAGCGGTGCTTTTAGCGATAGCAACAGCAACTACAACAATAGCTGAAACGGGTCTGCAGACAGCAGACGCGCGTGACGCTCACGCCAATCGGAGCATCCGCGGAGAATTCCGAAACCATTTTAACGGAGGCGATGAGAACGAATGCGCTTATGACGAGGGGGGGAGCGGAGAGGGAGGAGAGGAGATAGGATGTGGTGAGCGGAGGGCGAGGAGCAGGAGGGAGCTGCAAGCGAGATATGCGATACAGGAAGCGCTTCTTGGTGTAAGCCGGACGGACTGTCGCGATGTTGTTGCGAAATGGCTGCGAAATGGTCGGCAAGTGGTCGCGAAGTGGTCGTGCTTGCGATTTTGCACCTCCCAGACGCGAGAAGCAAGTGTAGTGAAAGTGCAGCAGCTAGGGCTTCCCTTCTGCCCTCGCCCTGGCCATGCAACCTCCCATCCTCTCCTTCTCTACTCGCCCGCCTTAATTTCTTGTTCCCATCCAGCCGTCCCCCAACACCATTTCATTTCGTTGTCCTTATGCTATCCCTCTATCCATTTCCCTACTCTCACCTCCCTTCTTTCTTCTCCTCTCCTCTCCTCTCCTCTCCTCTCCTCTGCTCGACTTTCCTCCCCTCCCCTTCCTCAGATATGGTCGGAACAATATTACCTTCCACCCTCCTCCGCTCCCCCATTCCTCCTCCTCCCAACCTCCTTCGCCCTCCTCGCCTCCCCTCCCCCGCCAACCACCACCGCCGCAGCATCCGCGTTCGCCTCCGCCTTCCCCTTCCCCCCAACCCTCCCCCCGCCCTCCCCGCCCCACTTAGAGGACTGCTTCGCCCGCACGTCCACGCGCATGCGCCTGGAGATGCAGCACCCGGGGGGAATTGAGGGGGAGGGGTCCAGAAGTGGGGGGAAGGGGCCGTCCTGGTTGGGGGGGGAATGGTATCGAGAGCCGGGGGGGGCGGGTGCAGGAGAGACAGGTGCGGAGGGGGGCGAAGGAGGAGGGGGAGTGCAGGGGCGGACGAGGGGAAGAAGGTTGTTTGATCCAGAGGGGATGGAGGGAGCAGGTGGGGGAAGCGAAGGGGGAGGCGAAAGGGGAGGAGAGGAGAGGGGAGACGGTGGATCGGGTGGCGTGCAAAGGAGGAGGAGGAGGGTGAGGAAGCGAGGAGGGTGGCAGGAGGTGGCGATGAGTGGCGGGTCCATTGGCGCGCGTGTGAAGACCATGCCCCGCCCGCCCTGGGTGAGTGCGTGTGCGTGAGCGTGCGTCGCAGCCTGACACACGCACATGGAGATGCATGGTTGGAAAGCATGGGGGGAGGCATGGATGGGAGGCATGGATGGGAGGCATGGATGGGAGGCATGGATGGGAGGCATGGATGGGAGGCATGGATGGGAGGCATGGATGGGAGGCATGGATGGGAGACATGGATGGGAGGCATGGATGGGAGGCATGGATGGGAGGCATGGATGGGAGGCATGGATGGGAGGCATGGATGGGAGACATGGGGGGGGGAGGCACGGGTACGTACCATCAGCCTTCTCGATCTTGGGCGCTGCCTTGTTTTGAGTCGACTCAAAACAAGGGAGGCACGGGTACCATCAGCGTTCTCGATCTTGGGCGCTGCCAGTCTGCACACGACCCTCCCTTCCCTTTGCTCTTCTCCTCTCCCCTCCCCACCTCCGGAAGTCCAGTGCTCCTGTCAGGATGATTCCTCATCTCGTCACCTTGCATACACAGCACACAACCACGCACACACCTCTCTGCCACGGTCCCTCCATCGCCCTTCCCTGCCCATTGCCCATCAGGCTATGCTGCTCTGCCACAGGGCCACTTGCTCTGCCCACATGCTTTTCCTGCCATCCCGATCACAAACATGCCTTCCTCCCTGCCTGCTCTGCTCCCCTTCCGTGGCTCTATCCCTTCTCTCTACCTATCCGTCTCTCCCCGCCTCTCTCACCCTAACTTCCTTCCTCCCCGTCCGCCCCTCTCTTTCCCGCGTATCTCTACTCCCCTTCTCTCCCCGTTTCCCCACCTCCTGACTCAGGTGCGAGGTCCATCCAGACACCTCTCTCGTTTCCTTCACCCGCTTAGCTCATGTGCCGTGTGCCATTGTGACGAGGTGACTTTTGAGTCGACTCAAAAGTCACCTCTTTCCTCCTTATCGTTCCCCTCTTTCTCACCCCATCCCCTAACCCCCCCGATTCAGGTGCGAGGCTCAGACACCTCGCTTCTGCCCTTCACCCGCATGGCCCAGCGGGACGTCTGGCTACACCAATTCCCCCCCTCCTCCTGCTCCCCCCCACCCACCCCTCCCGCGTCTACTCCCCCTCCTCGCGCCCCTCGCTTCCTACTCCTGCCCTGGCCTCAATTCAACACGCAAGGAGAAGAATCCGCAGCAGCAGCGGAAGCAGCAGCAACGGGGACGGAGAGCAGTGGAGCAGCGGGGGCAGGAGGACGAGTGGCGGAGGAGGAGGAGGTGGCATCGGGGGTGGTGGCAGTGGCAGCGGCGCTGGCAGTGGGGCTTGCCACAGGGCGAATAGTGGTGCCCGTGGACCAGGGCAGTGCGCTGCTGGGGGAGCAGGGGGCGCGGCAGGGGAGTGAGTCAAACGCTGCCGAGCTCTGTGAAGGTGCTGGGAAGGTGAGGGGGAATGGTAGGATGGGGGAAGAGTAGGAGGGGGTTGGGTAGGAGAGAAATACCAGGCACCGTGGCAGGTATCGGTCCTTTTTTTTTTCTTTCTCTCTAGCAGCCTTGCACCAACTCCTTTCTCCGTTCACTCCCCCCTCTTCCTTTCTCCAAACCCACTGCCCAAACCTGCTTCAGGCGTCCTTCCACTGCCTCTTCTTCCCACTCACGTCCGCTGCCTGTCGATCGTCCGCCCTCCATCACGCTGCCTCCACCAATCCTAACCGTCCATCGGCCGCTGCCACCCTGGAGCAGGAGCTACTATCAGACGACCCCATCGTGTGGTTACCACCTGAATTCGTAACCGCTGCAGCCGGAGACGCTGCTGCTGCGTACGCAGCACAGGCGGGGGGAGGGGAGGCAGCACGATCACGAGAACGGGCGCCAGGAGGAGTGGGAGGGGCGCGGAATGGAACTTGGATGTGGGGTTACCTGCCACGGCTTGTTGGCATGAGCAGAGGCAAGCTGGTGCTCGCACACCTCGCTCAGCGCATCGCCAAGGCCAAGTCAGTTCCTTTCACCTCCTCCTCCTCCTCCCCCTCCTCCTCCTCCTCCTCCTCCTCCTCCTCCTCCTCCTCCTCCTCCTCCTCCTCCTCCTCCTCCTCCTCCTCCTCCTCCTCCTCCTCCTCCTCCTCCCCCCCCTTCCTCCTCCTCCTCTTCCTCATTCTCCTCCGTCCTTTCTTTGTTATTCTTCTTCCTCCTCCCCCGCATCCCCTTCCCTGTTCACATCGCCTTTCCCACCTACATTCTCCACCCAATTCCCTCCACCAATCCGCCTATTCTTCTCCCACTCCTCGTCGCCCACACTGTCCCCCTAACTGAGACCTCTTTCTCCTTCTCAATCCCCTTCCCCAACGCCATCTCCTTCCGCGTCTCCTTCCACTGCCACCATCAGGGGCTGGGACCGGCCCTGGGCGCAAGGTGTGGCGAATGTGTCAAATGCAGATGCCTCCCTCAAGGTACTAAGCTCTCACTCTCTATCAGAGCAGTAACAATCTTTTGCTTTCTCCTTCAAGTTTGAGGCGCCTCAAAAGCAGACCCTGCCTTCCCGCTCCACATATGTTGAGGGGGGTTTTGGAGGCGCCTCAGAAGTCGTCTCCGTTAAGGTGCTCTGTCTGCGCTCCCTCTTCCCAGGGGGGTTGATCACCAGCCGCCCATCCACGAGTCGCCTAAAAATCGTCTAAGGTCTGCTCTGCTGCGAGTCTCCCTTGTGGCATGTGCTCCCTTACTCTCTCTGTAACTCTCACTACTACACCCTCTCCCTTACTCTCTCTGTAACTCTCACTACTACACCCTCTCCCTACGAGCCCCCCCACTTATCCCTCGCACTCCGTTCCCCAACCAGTCAAACTCTGAAACAAATGTACTCCAAGTCCCATTTCGCGAATCATTACCCCTTTCACTTTGTCTTCTTCCCTCACTCTTTCTCTCCTTCACCTCTCTCTGCGCCCTCCGCCCTCCGCCGTCCCCCTCTCCCCATCACCTACAGCACCGGTGGTTGTTGGCGCAGCTGCTGCGCTTCGTGCTGCGCTGGCCATCCCTGCACACGTGCCATCTCGCCAACACTGCACGCCACCACGCCCTGGGGGACCACGTGTCGCTGCAGCTCGCCTCCTCCTACTCCGCCCTCCTCTCCCTCCCTGAGACCGATCCTCCTGCCCATGCCGCTGCTGATGCCGCTGCTGGCGCTGCTGCTGCTGCTGCTGGTGGTGCTGCTGCTGAGGGTGGTGCTGATTCCGGTCCTGGAGGTGAAGCAGCAGCGGTGGGTGATGCAACGGGTATGCGCAAGGCTGGAGGAGGAGCAGACGAGGGATGGGGCAGGGGCGAGGATGAGTGGAGCGAGGAGTACGAGTCGCCTTGGCAGCCTGCGAAAGAGAGCAGTGCGGGTGAGGTAGTGACAGACAAGCAGGCAGCACAGCAGCAGGAACAGGAGCAGCAGGAGGTGATAGAGAGAGATACATTGGAATTCAGGGCACCAGCCAGACGAGCAGCGGAAGTAGTACAGCCACCAGCCGCTGCAGACCCAACTTCCACAGCACAGGCTATTTCCACAGCACAACCACACCCCACCTCATCACCTCAACAAACCCATACACCTCAACCCATCTCTTCACAACCACCAGCCCATGCAGCAGCAGCAGCGCGGGCACTGAGCGAGCAGCCGCTACTGGAAGGGCTACCGCCCAAGGAGCTCTATGCCATGCGCTCCTTCTCCCTCTCCCCTGCCTCCTCCCTCCACTCCTCCCTCTGGGCATGGGACGACGCAGGCGGACCAGAGCCATACGTGCCCCGCCCCATTGCCAGCGTGCACGTGGGGAAGGCGTCGGAATGGGGGAAGGATGAGGGTCCCGGGGGAGAGGGTGTGGCAGCAGGGTGGCTGGTGCAGGTGCAGCAGCAGCGGCTGAGAGTGCCGAATCTGAAGACTCTGTGGATGTCCATACCGGGGGAATGCCAGGTGAGGGGAGGCACCACTCACCTTGCACTGCACCCAACCATGTTCTCCCCGGCCTTCCTCCCGCACCAACGTTCTCACCGCCCCCCACGACTGGGCCTCCTGGCCCCCTCGCCCCCCCGGCCCTTCCTACATGTTTTTTCCCCTCTGGGCCTGGCACTCCACGTGTGAAGCACTCCACGTGTGAAGCACTCCACGTGTGTTTTGAGTCGACTCAAAACACCTCTCGGGCTGGCACTCCACATGTGAAGCATTACCATCCGCCGTAATCATTCCACCTTCTTGTTGGTTAACTTCCTTCTTTGCCTGTCCATGTGTGTCTCTCTCTCCCTGTCTCCGTCCCATCCGAATCTCAGCTGGTGGCCTCTCTGCCCAGGGGATGGACCTGCATGGCCCCACCCACCCCTTCCAATCCAGCCGTCCCCACTACAACAGAGCCTGCTGTTGCTGCTAGTGCTGGTGCTGCTGCGGCTGCCCAAACAGTGGCGTCTCTATTGATAGCTGGGAGATGCGATGTGCATGTGGACGGCGGGGTAGCAGCAGGGCAGCAGCAGCAGCAGCAGCTTGTGGGGCAAGCGGATTTGGATGTGTGTTTAGGTGGGTCTAAGAGCTCCTCTTGTTGGTCGCGTGTTGTGCAATTGTTGCTGCTGACCAATGGTAGGAGCGGCAGCGATGGCTGGAGCTGGTTCTGATGTGATATTTCTTGTGCACTCAATTGTTTATTTTATCATAAATTATCATCTGATCTGAGTTCTCAAAGGTGTTAGATTTGCACGTCCGCTCCGTTTGAAACAGTACAAACTTGTCAGTCCGATCCAAAATATGTTTCGCCCGGCAAAATCGCTCCACCGCTCTTTCAAGTTGGGTTTGGGTTCACTATTTTGCATTTCGGTTTTAAAGAAAGGCAGATGTAACTTGCACATCTGCAGCAGACTGATTTACACTACAGTTATTCAAACAAAATGCCATTGACTTTGATTCGCTCGAATTTTCTCTTAGCGAACCAGGCATTCTTTCGCTGGTCGCGGTGGCGCCACTCACTCGCCTACTCCGAATTGTGCGCGAAGTGCCTTTTTACGCTTCTTCGACGCTGGTGCACCTACTGGTATCTGTGGCCTATCTCGCGTGCTCCCCCCCTACTAGGTGCTAGTAAGCTGGAGACACGCGGTGCTTCAGGCCTATCTCCGGGGCTTTTTTATTGCGGCGCGTGGCACGCGGTGCTTCAGGTGTGCTCCGTCCCGTTCCGTGCTGGCCGAGCGGACTTGTTGTGAACGTCAGCGAGCGAGTACCGCGACCGGAGGGAGATGTTCTCTAGCCACTCTGTGTGCGCTGGAGAAGTTCGCCTCGTCTTCCGGTGCCGTACTGTGGCGTACTGTACCGTTCTGTACCGCACTTGAACGTGCTGTACCGTGCTTACATCTCCTGGCCGTCCTACTCACCTACTGTAACGCCTGCGGGCTTGAACGAAGGGGGTAAAAGGGCATCCGCTGCGCCTCTATCACACCGCCGTTTTGACCAGTGGGTAGCGGGACGTAATAGCTATCTCTCACGTTGTCGCCATGTCAACTCCTTCTCAGGATAACGCTGCTTTTGCAATCACTTCTGAGCGTCAGCATCAGCATCAGCACCAGCACCAGCACCATGAACATGATCATCAGCTTCGTCAGTTTCTTCAGCTTCGCCGCGCGTCAGCCATCGCAAGCGTGTGCGAGCAGCTCTACTCCCGCGACCTTCGCCAAACGCACCCCTTCGCCGACCTCGTTCACAGCCACACGAGCCTGCAGGCACAGGCCGCCACGTGGCAGCGCCAGAGCGAGGCGGAGCGGGTGCGCGCGGCGAGCCTGCAGGAGGAGAAGGCGGCGCTGCTGGCGCAGCTCATGGCGCTTAACGAATCGACCGCCACTGTACGCGTTACAAGCGCAATTTCCAGTTCCACCTCCCCCCACGTTCTCCTGTGCCGTCAATCCATCTACTCCTTCTTACCAACTCTATCCCAGTATTCTCGTTATCTCCTAACTCGCCTCTCATTCCCTCTCCCCTGCTTCCCTTCTCTCCCATGCCTCCCTTCTCCCTTCCGCCACATGCTCCCTCGTCCCTGTGCTTCCCCTCCCCCTCCTCTCCTCCTCCTCTCCCTCCCTCCCAAGCCCTCTCCCCCTCCCCTCCTCCAACAGTCGGAGCAGGTGACCTCATTACAGCAGCGAGTGGAGCAGCTATCAGCGGACGTGGCAGCGAGTGGAGCAGCTATCAGCGGACGTGGCAGCGAGTGGAGCAGCTATCAGCGGACGTGGCAGCGAGTGGCCTCTCTCCTCCCTGTGCATCCCCTCCCTCCAAACCCCCTCTTCCCCCCCTTCCGCCCCACCCACTTCTCCCAACAGTCGGAGCAAGTAACCTCGCTGCAGCAGCGAGTGGAGCAGCTGTCAGCGGACGTGGCAGCAAGTGGGCGCACGGCAGCGCAGGCCAGTGGCGAGCTCGTGACAGCCGTGGCGGCGGTGGCGGCGCTGAGGGACGACGCGGGCATCAAGGCAGAGCGGATTCGCACTCTGGAGGAGGAGCTGCGCGCTGCCCTGTGCGTTGGGGGGTGCTGGGAGAGAGAGAGGGGGGTGGGGAATGGGAGTGAGAAGCGGGAGTGGGGGGTGAGGAATGGGTGATGGGGGAAGGGCGATGGGAATGAGGGATGGGAGACGGGGGGGGGGGGAATGAGTGATGGCTAGTAACGTGTGGCCAAACGTGGCAACGGGTGGCGGCGGGTGACAGCAGTGGTAGGGCGGCGCTGAGGGACGACGCGGGCATCAAGGCGGACCGCATCCGCTCTCTGGAGGAGGAGCTGCGCGCTGCCCTGTGCGTTGGAGGGGAGGGGGAGAGGGAGGGGAAGGGATGCGGAAGGGATGGGGAATGGATGGGAAAGGGGGAATGGGGAGGATGGCGGTTGGAGAAAGGTGGAAGTGGATGGGCATGGGGTTGAAGGGTGGCGATGGGGGATGGGGAATGGGGAAAGGGTGCGGAATGGGTTGTAACGTGCGACTGAAGGTTGCTTGTGTCCGTGGCAGTGCTGGCAGAGCGGGCAGCAGAGCAGGCAGTGGCTATGGTACATGCTGTCAAGTTTTTTACTGTCTCGTGCTGCTTGATCCTGAATCTCCTCCCTTATCCGCCCTACTCTCGCACTCCTGTGCGGCTTGGCATGGCATGCAAAGGTGTCGCACGGCACGACCCAGCGCAACACCACAGACCCAACACAACACAACACAACACAACACAACACAACACAACACAACACAACACAACTCAACACAACTCAACTCAACACAACACAACACAACTCAACACAACACAACTCAACACAACTCAACTCAACACAACACAACACAACACACCACATACCCAAAACAACACAACACAACACAACGCAACACGACACGGCATGGGTATCGCTCCCTTCCCTCAGAGAGGCAGTGCAGGAGCTGCAGGGCGCGGTGCAGTGCAGCACAAGGAGGCGGTGTTCTGTCATTCATTTCTCAGGGATCGGCCATCGAGCTGGCGGTAGCAGAGGCAGCGGCGCACTTGCTTGTGACTCCTGACCTTCCCTACTCTCGTTCCGCTGTGTGCTTTGACATGAAACCGGTGTGGCATGGCATGGGAATGGGCATGGTTCCCACAGGAGGCAGTGCAAGAGCTGCGGGGTGCAGTGCAGCACAAGGAGACGGCCATAGAGCTGGCGGCAGCAGAGGCAGCGGCGTGCCGTCCTTCTCGGGTTGTGTGTCTCCTCCCTGACCCGCCCTTCTTCCGTGCCTCTCTGCTCCTGTGTGGTTTGCTCTGCCTCACCCTCACAGCGAGGCAGTGCAGGAGCTGCGGGGAGCGGTGCAGCACAAGGAGACAGCCATCGAGTTGGCAGCAGCAGAGGCAGCGGCGTGCCGGGCGGAGGTGCGGGCAGCAGAGGAGAGGGCGGCGGGCGTGGAGCGCGAGAACCGCATGCTGGTGGACCGATGGACGCACCTCAAACTGCACCAGGCTGACACACTCAATGAGGTGCGTAATCAGGCATGGCGGAGGTGGGTAGGGGTACGGGTATTGTGATGGGATGGGATGGGATGGGATGGGATGGGATGGGATGGGATGGGATGGGATGGAGATGGGAATCAGGGAGGGGGAGTACAACGTGTGCACCAAACCCCTTTGCACTCCACCCGCAACGCTCACGCGCGTGCACCTGAATTCTCTTCCAGGCCAATCAGCTGTACGAGGATCTGGTGGAGCGCACGTGCGCCTCCTCCCGTTTCTTGAGGCGCCTAGAAAACCTACCCACCTAACCAATGCACATGCCACACATGCCACGGCCTCCCCCTCTCCTGCAGGCCAATCAGCTGTACGAGGATCTGGTGGAGCGCAACCAGCAAGCAACCTATTGCGCTCACTCCTTCCTTCCCTGCACTCTCCCCCTCTCTCGCAGGCCAATCAGCTGTACGAGGATCTGGTGGAGCGCAACCAGCAAGCAACCTATCGCGCTCACTCCTTCCTTCCCTGCACTCTCCCCCTCTCTCGCAGGCCAATCAGCTGTACGAGGATCTGGTGGAGCGCAACCAGCAAGCAACCTATCGCGCTCACTCCTTCCTTCCCTGCACTCTCCCCCTCTCGCAGGCCAATCAGCTGTATGAGGATCTGGTGGAGCGCAACCAGCAAGCAACCTATCGCGCTCACTCCTTCCTTCCCTGCACTCTCCCCCTCTCTCGCAGGCCAATCAGCTGTACGAGGATCTGGTGGAGCGCACGCGCGCCTCCTCCCGCGCGCTGCAGCACCTGGCCTCACAACAACCCCTCGGCATCCTCCAGCTCGCCGAGCCCGGCGTCTCCCCCCGCCTCGTCTCCACGCACGCCCCCTCGCGCGCCCTGCGCTCGCACCGCTGCCACGACTCCGCGTGCTGCTCGCTCGCCATGAGCGCTGCGGGCCACCGCGTGATCACAGGCGGGGAGGATGGGGCAGTCAAGGTGTGGGATGCGCACAGGAGTGCGCTGCTGGATACGGCTAGAGGGTGCCTGGGGGCTGTTATGGACCTTGCTGTGCTGGGGAGTGAGGGTGGTGGGGGAGGGGGAGGGGGAGCGGACGGCAGGAGGCGCAGCAGCGGTGGTGGTTCTAATGGTGCGGATTCGGCCCCGTCGCTCCCCCACGGTTTTTCTGCGCTGCTGGCGGCGTGCTCGGACCACAAGCTGTACCTATGGGATGCTGCCACGTGGCAGCTGAGGCACACGCTCACGGGGCACACGGACAAGGTCGTAGCAGTGGACGTGGACGAACACAGAGGGGGGGGCACTGGCACAACTGGGGGAGGTGGTATCGCCAGCAGCAGCAGCACCAGCAGCAGTGCGCGGGCCATCAGTGCGGCGTACGATCGCAGCATGAAGCTATGGGACCTGGAGCGCGGCTTTGCCACAGTCACCTTGCTCTGCCACAGCAACTGCAATGCTCTGCGCTTTGCCCCGGGGGGACTTTCCGCAATCTGTTCAGGCCACGCAGACGGACACCTGCGCATGTGGGACGTGCGGTCGGGGAAGCTAGCCAACGAAGTAGCTGCTCACGCCGCAGCCATCACCTCCCTCGCGCTCTCCTCCTCGGCCGTCTCGGCGCGTCACAGCGGCGGCGGCGCATCTGCGGCGAGTATCTACGATTTGGTGACGTGCGGGCGGGACAACATTCTCCGGGTGTTTGACCTGCGCTCGCTGGCAGCGAAGCAGGTGCTGAGGGGCCCGCATGGGTTCAGAGTGGCGTCCAACTGGAGCCGTGCGTGTGTGAGCCCGACAGACGAGTACGTGGCAGCTGGCAGCATGGATGGGTCCGTGGTCGTGTGGAGCAGACGCACTGCTGCTGTGGAGCGCCACCTGAGGCCCGCGCCTGCCTTGGCTTCAGGTGCCGGTTCAGGTGCTGGTTCAGGTGGCTCTGCTGGCTTGGCCTCGGGAGCTGCTGCTGCTGCTGTAGCGCCTATCTTGACGAGTGTGTGGGGAAGCTGTGGGTTGCCTTTGGTCACTGGTGACAGGGCTGGTGTGGTGACAACGTGGGAGTGATGTTTACTGGCTTGGACTTTATTGAGGGCTGTACATAGATCTGGAAGTAATCGTTGGGAGGCAGTGAAGTATGCCCACATTAGTCAGGGTGGTAATGCTGATTAGTAAAAAAAATATACGGTACCGTATATTAGTAGTGAATGAAGCTCGCTGTTCTGCATGCTGCAGCAAACTCGTCCTTGCAGATGATGGTGATGACAATGTCGATGAAAGGCTGGCCAAAGAACGGACATGGCAGGGGTGCAGTAACTGGCAACGAACCTGCAGGGTGTGAATGGTCGACCCATAAAATCAGTGATGGCGGCAATGTCAAGGAGTGGTGCACTGGGGACGACAACAATGTGTACTTGGTTGGAAATGCAATAAATATATAACAGAGCATGAACTCCCCCAGTGATTGTCATTATTATTTGTAAACATCTGCAATATCAGGGCTGTTACAACCGAGGAGCCGACCTGTTGCCTTCCACTCCACGCCTCTCTCCAACAGATATATCAAAGGCAGGGCAAAGTGACGTTCCACCTCAGCAGCGTGTGTATTCGGCAGTTGGGCACGAGTGCTGATCCGCGCTGTCCACGCTGCTATCGCACATCGAAGTACGTAAAACATCTTGGCCGTTGAATACACACCCTTCCTCAACGCTTTTGAGGCCCCGGTTCATCTGTCACGTGCTGGATTCGCACTGCTGTACTAATTTGTCCATACCTTTGGCTCTTTGGCACTTGCCCAGGATGTTTCCCTCATGATAATTCCACGCTGGATCTGTGACACTTCAAATTTAGACCGCCAAACCTGACCTGACTTGTGAAGTTGGACGGCTCGATGATGGTATGTCTTCAAAGCTTCTGATCTGTACCGTGCAATATTACAGCACATGCTCGGCCGCGGCGCGGAATCCCAAGTTTGGTCAATCAGAAATGTGTTTCGCAAACGTGGCGGTTCGATTTTGTTTTCCCCCTTGCTGCGCTGTTCTGCCCACGCTTGCTCCACCTGCTTTCTCGCTTGACTCTTCCAGACCCAACCCTGTGCCTCTTCCACGAAATGACTCTCAGTCGGGCGATGGCGGCTTCCTTCTTTCCTGTCTCCTCTTCCCATTCGCTTCCCCCAGGCTGCTGTACGATTGCTGCGTCTTCTAACTGAATGCTGCCCAACCCGCCTTCAAAGATTGGGCAGGGAGGAAAATCGCCTCCTGTACTGGCAGGCAGTCCCAAAAGGCTGATGGGAAGGGGAGGTGACATGCAACGCCGGAATGATCATATCACATGACTTTTGCGAAACAGTCCTCATTCACGATACTGTAAACATGACACAGAAATGGAGGGAGTTGAGTGGGGCTGGGTGGGGTCTACATCTACTGTAGTTACAACGATGGTGTGTTGTGATGGTGCAGCGGGGAGAAGGGGGGGAGGGGAAGTTTGGGGGGATCTTTGTGCGACGCCAGAAAGATGGTGCGTGCGTCACGCTCTGCAGACGAGCGATTGTGAATCTCGATTGGCCGTCTTGTTGATCTTCTTCTTGCCCTGCCAAGCCAACGCCTCCTCCCCACTTCCCCCGACCCCCCCACCTATGACTCAGGCAAGCGGGCGGAGGAAGAGCGTGTGGCGAGAATCAAGTTCAAGAGCAAATAGGCAGGCTGACCAGTCGTCATTCAGTGAAATCCGGTTTTCGAGCATTGTCAGCAGCAGCAGCACACCAAACGCTTCATACGATTGCAAGTCGGCTCCAGCACGACGCCACTATAACACTAACATCTTTCCCGCGCCGCGGGCTATAGATTGTAAGCCTAAACCTCATTGCGGACGTCACGCGTTGCGAACAAGCACGTCATCACTCCTAAGCTCGCTGGAAATTTGTCGGAAACACTACGACTAGGTTCCAGCTGACAAGAATTAGCTGGTGAATCTTGCACTGCTACTACCAGTTCTGACGAACCGACTCTCGGTCCTCTACAACTGGTGGCGTAGCTAGCACTACTAATACTTTTGTACTAAGGTCGCTAGAATAGCGGATCCCAGAATCTCCAACTGGTACCGCCGCGGCAGCTAGTGCCTTCAGCTATCTGTTGTACTGAGGCAACGGAGGAGCATTCATCACGAGCCATCACGAGCCATCACGAGCCATAGCCATCTCGTCCCATCACGACCCATCACGACCGGTCACGAGCCCCGTAACAAGCAGCGGCGCTTCCTGCTAAACCACAGCGTGCTGACGGATCATGTGCCTGAGACCCGCGATATCTGCAACAGTCGGAACAAGCGGCGGCGCCGTCGCGGCGGCGATTGACGCAGCACCGGGGCCGGCTGAGTGGGGCTCGTGGGGCGGACTCCAAGGAGGAACTGCGCAACCTACGCGAGGTGTCGGAGCGTTTCCGGCGGAAGGACGCGGCTCAGCGGCGATGGCGGGGGCTGGTGCGACCGTCACGGACCTCCTGCTCAGTCGACAGCAGCAACGGCAGCAGCAGCAGCAGCAGCAGCAGCAGGAGGACGCATGGGCGGACTACCGGCAACAGTGGGAGCGGCAGCGCGAATCTCAGGGTCCTACGACTTTCATGTATGTCCACTCCCTGTCCCCCCTCCGATGTAGAAGTATTTTCTATCAGAATGGGTCCCTTCTCTTGTTTCTGCCCCCCTCTTTCATTTCGTCCGTTTCGTCCTTCCATTCGCAACACCTGTACTGACCGTGGCTCACTCTCCTCTCCAGTTGGACCGGCGACGGGTATGCCATAGGGACTGGCAATCGAGGGCAGCAGCCTTTCGCCGACCTTCCGCCGCAGCCACAGGCGCAGGCGCCGGCGGCTCCCCCGCAGCAGCAGGGGGAGCCTTCTTGGCCGCAGATGCCCGCTGCCGGCGGGCCAGGCGGAGGAGGCGCGGCGGCGGCGCCCAGTTCCGCGAGAGACAGTGATGCGCGCAGAGGCGCGCCGTCGCACCTGCTGGCCCTGCTCTCCAACGCCGTGCAGAGGCAGCAGAAGCAGCAGAACCCGCAGCAGCATCCGCAACAGCGCCAGCCGCAGCCGCAGCCGCAGCGGGCAGCGAACCACACGGAAATGATGGCGCCCGTCCTGCCGCAGCAGCAGCCACCACCAGCGCCACAAGACGCATTGCAAGGCACGACGCCATGGGTCGCCTCCGCCTCGCACTTCCATCCCACCACGGCAGCACCAGCAGTAGCAACGGAGCCGCTCCTGCCTTCCTGGCAGCCCCTTCCGTCCCAGCAGCCCCTGCAGCCTCTGCAGCAAATGGGACTGACTCTTCCCACTGTCACTCCTTACGCCGCTCCTCCGCTCGTGTCCCCGAGTTCTGTGGTGACCACAACGGGGGTTCCTGGCCACGCTGGCTTATCCATGGGAGCTGTGTACCCTGGAATGGCGGGGCATGGAGCTGTGGATGAGAAGAAAGTCAAAAGGTGCGACCATCGGATTGCTCAAGGGCATCATTTGCATGTCAGGGCCTCGCATCTCGCTCAAGAAGGTTCTAAGCTCCTCTATCAAACTCGTTGCCTCGTGTTGCCACGTGTGGCCTTCCCTCCATGTGCCGCTGCCTTGTTTCCTCTTCACATAACCCTTTTACCTCCTTTCTTGCACGCTCAAAAGTCAACTGCTCCACTCCTTCCTTTTGACCTCTGGTAACCAATCTCTCCAACTTCTGCTCGTCGCTCTGTTTTCCTGTTGCCCCGTGTAGAATGATGTCCAACCGAGCATCGGCCAAGAGGTCGCGCAAGCGGCGGCAGGAGCGGCTGGAGGAGCTGGAGGTGCTGTCGGCGTCGCTGCACGTGGACAACGCGAGTGCGCAGCGGCGGCTGAACGAGGCGCAGGACACCATTCGGCGCCTGCAGCGCTGCCAGCAGGCGCTGCAGCGCAGCGTTGCCGAGGCGCACGCACAACTGACAGCTGCCACCGCTGCCGCCACTGCTGCGGCTGCAACTGCTGCTGAAGATGACGATGGTGATGACGATGATGATGATGAGGAGGAGGAGGAGGAGGAGGAGGAGGGGGATGCTCCCTCTTCTGCTGCTACTCCTTCTGCTGCTGCTGTTGCTTCTGGTGGTGGTGGTCAGCAGAGTGAGGGCGCTGGTGAGATGCTCGCCCCCCTCCACCCGCTGAAGGAGGAGAGGCTGCCGCTGCGCACGCCACTGGACCTTGCGGGGAGATTGCGGGGAGGAATGGTGGGAGGCTGGGGTGGAAAAAGTGGGGCTGCAGGAGTGGATGCGGAGGAGGAGCAGAACGAGCAGGAGGAAGAGGAGGAAGTGGAGGAGGAAGAAGGGGGTGATGAGGACTGTGGGGATGGGAGTGAGGAGGTTGAGGAGGAGCTGGAAGAGGGTGCAGTGGGCGGGGAAAGTGCCGAGGCCGAAACGGGAGTGTTGAGTGGATTGGAAGGGGGAATAGGATGTGAGGTGGCAGCGCCAGCCATAGCAGTCGACTTTGACTCACTACTGGGCTCTGGACAAGGCATCGTGAATCCAAATACTAATGCTTCTGCCTCCTCCTGGATGAACAGCTTCGGCCACAGCATGGGGAGGGTGGGATGATTTGATACACGCATTTGCGCATTCTCCGTTTTATCGAATGTACAGGAGCTGCACTTGACACGCAAGTGCGAGATTCAGATGTCTCGAGCAGGATACTCCCGTGGGTAATCTGTTTTACTGCTGTAATATTTCGTATAGTCTGATGTAGGACTTAATATTTTCTCTTGACTAGGCTGGTAATGTAGTGAATACTTTATTTCATTTCTGTTACGGGTGCAATGAATCGAAGTAGCGAGAATTGCACTAAGGTGTCAAACGAGTACAAGATGTGAGCAAAGGCATGAGCGAACATTTATACGCGAAACATGCAAACGGTAACGCGGTGCGTGCGAGCTAGCTAGTGCTATGCTGGCAGCGAGGCTCGGGCTAGTCCCGAAGCGTAGGCCAATACGGTCGGGCCAGCAGTGCGAGGTTTGGCAAAACAGTGCGCGCGAAGTTGGCGAAGTCCCGTTAGCAGTAACGGGCAAACAACGGCTGTTGCCTGTACGCGATGTAGTCGGGCTCCGTAAGGAATGCCGAGAAAATTCCTTACACTACCCCCCCCCTCAAGAAGCCCCCTCCGCTACGCGAGTGCATGTATATCGTGTGAAAGATTGAAGAGAGAAAGAGGGCTGCACTGCTGGCACAGCTGGCTACGACTGGGCTACCGGACGAAGTCCCCGGAATACAGGTGCTGCTGGCGACACGACGGCAACCTCCATTCAGCTTCCCCAAACGATCGCACTCCCCCTGACACACACCCGCTGCTACACCCCTAGCTCCACTCTCACCCCACCCCCTAGCACCACTCCGTCGAATCCCACACACCCACCCCCCTCAGCGGTAGCTGCAGCAGTGGGAGACAGAGGAGGAGGAGGAGCAGGGGAGACTACACACCCGCCACCCCCCAGGTCGCCGCGGCCCCCGAAGGAGCCGCGACGGGCGACGGGAAAAGGGGGGGGGGGGGGGGGGGGGTGCCGTAGGTAGGGCGACGGAGCCGGGCCGTAGGTAGGGCGACGGGACGACGGGGCCGCAGGTAGGACGGCGGGGCCGGGGCCAGGGCCGCAGGTAGGGTCGCCCGAGCCGCGCGCAGGCGGCCCGAGCCGCGCGCGGGCCTGGCGCCGCCCGTACAGGTCGCGCGTAGGCCTGGCGCGGCCCGTACGGGCCGCGGACGGGTCTGGTGCGGCCCGTACGTGCCACGCGCAGGCTGTACGGGCCGCGCGCAGGCCACGACGGGCGACGGGGGGCGACGCGGAGGTCCCCGTCGCCCGTCGCAGCGCCTCCCAGGAGCGGCGCCCGGCGTGACGGGGCAGTAACCCGCCGCACGCCTCGGGGCGCACGGCGGGAAGAGAACCGCCGCGCGCCTCGGGGCGCACGGCGGGCAGAAAACCGCCGCGCTCCTCGGGGCGCACGGCGGAATGAAAAACTGCCGCACGCCACGGGGCGTGCGGCACAAAGAGTAGTGATAGCAGTAGCAGTAGGAGTTGCAGCGGAAGCAACGAGGTGGTAAGTCCACCCACAGGATCGATCCAAAGGGATCGACCTGCTCTGATAGCATGTGAAAGTTTAGAAGAAAGAAGAGGGCTGCACTAGCAAGAATGGGGATACAAATAGGAAACCCTAGAAGGGTTGTACTCGCTATAGAGCACCCCACTACAGGCTAGAGCATAAGATAACATTTTGACATATCGCAAAATCCTCGGCTCCTCAGGTACACTTGTAGAGCAGGGTGGTTTTCAATGTTGGCCAGGGGCACCCAGCTATCTTCAGTTGGCGTGCGGTCCTTCCAGCGAACGAGGAATTCAATCCTCCTAATTCCCGTGGGGTGGCGAATCCGATGACTCTAATTTTTTTCAGGTTCGATGATCGGCTCTGATGCAGGGCGAGTCATGGATGGCGGGCGGTGGCGAGGCAGTTGGCTTGTGGTTGGGATGTATGGGCGAAGCAAGCTGACGTGGAACGAAGGGCTGATGTACCAGTCGGTCGGTAACAGTAGGTGCGCGGTTACTGGCGTGATCATGTGGCTGATTTGGAATGGGCCACAGTAGCGCGGTCGAAGTTTTGGTACGTCGCGCAGTCGCAGATTTTGCGTGTCGAGCAGTACGTAATCCCCTGACTGGTATTTGACTGGGCGGCGGTGGCGATCAGCGTTGCGCTTAGCGATGACGTTTGCTTTTTTAATTGCTTCTGCAGCTCTGGTGCGGGCAGCTTGCAGAATTTCGGCGAATTGATGTGCACGTGGTGTTCGGTTGTCCGGACTCGGCGTCATGGGCACTGTAGGATTTTGCCCGTAGTTTAGGTAGAAGGGGGATTGCTGCGTCGTCGCTGACGTGGCGTTATTGTACGCAAAATCGATCAGCGGCAGCTGCTGCTCCCAAGTCGTGGGGTCGTCGCACGTGGCACGAATCAACTGCTCCATCGTCTAATTTGTCCGCTCCGTTTGACCGTCGGTCTCTGGGTGGTACGACGAACTGAATTGTAGCATGGTCCGGAATTGCTCCCAGAGGTTCTTCCAGAAGTTGCTGGTGAACTTCGTGTCCCTGTCGCTGATAATCACTGCTGGTATCCCGTGCAGGCGAACAACGGTTGCGATGAATAGGCGAGCGGTCTCCTCGGCTGAGATCGACTTTTTGCACGCAGCGAAGTGTGCCATCTTCGTCAACCGGTCAACGACGACCATCACCGCGTCGTTACCCCCAGGGTTCGAAGGTAACCCTATGACGAAGTCCATGGTAACCTGCTTCCAGGCGCGCTCGGGCAGTGGTATCGGCTGCAATTGACCCGCCTTCCGCTTCCTCGAGCTCTTCATCACCTGACACGTGGGGCACGAGCCCACGTGCTGCTGCACGTCGCTCAACAGCTCCGGCCAGTAGTAATACGGCTGCAGTTGCTGTCGCGTTTTTTCTACCCCAAAATGTCCCGAGTGTGAGAATGAGAACGAGAATGAATGAACTATGAATGAAGTGGGTACAAGTACTAACCCTAATTGGGTTGTACCCCCTATGGGATACCCCACTATAGCCTACACAAAAGCATAAGCTATAATGATCTGACACACCCCCATAGGCAAAGTGGGGGAGAACAAGGGGTCACAAGACCAGTCAAGCAAAGCAAAGCAAAGCAAGCTCAGGGTGGATCACAACGTCACCACACAGTCTGAGCACAAGGTCAAGGCCACAAGGCCAGTTCACAAGCAGGAGGAGACACATATATATATATAAGTCTAAACAAGCAAGAGCAGGTATATATATATATGCAAGAGTACAAGCAAGGTCAAGAGGTGAGCAAGTGAGGCAAGACTGGGACAAGTCCCAGCTGAGTGCAGAAACGCTGATGATCACAAGGCGGAAGTGCCTTGGTGAAAACATCAGCAGTGTTGGCCTCAGAGGCCACGTACGCAAGTCGCAACTGACCACGCTGCTGCAGCTCACGAGCAAGAAAGTAGCGGAGAGCAATGTGCTTCGTTCTGTGCTCCAGGCGCTGCTCTCGACACAAGGCCAGCATGGCCTTGTTGTCTACGTACAGCACTGGAGGAGAACGAGGCGGCTCTCCAAGGTCAGTCAGCAGGTAGGTGAGCCAGTGAAGCTCCTGAGCAGCCATGGCCCCGGCGTAGATCTCAGCCTCACAACTGGAGCCGAGAACCGAAGACGAGCGAGTAGCCCGCCACGAAACAGAGCCGGAACCAAGACTGAAGGTGTAACCCTGCGACGACCGCTGCGTAGCCTGGTCGTCAGCCCAAGAAGCGTCCGCGTGCCCAGTGAGGACCACTGGACTCCGCCCTCCGAGCACTAGCCCCATGCCCGACGTACTGCACAAGTAGCGCAACACCCTCTTTGCTGCAGCCATGTGCTCTGGTCGGTGTCTCCCAGGAGCAACATAGCGTGTCAAGATGCTAAGAGGGTATGCAAGGTCAGGTCGTGTGCAGGTCATCAGGTACATGAGGCAGCCAAAAAGCTCTGGGTACGGGCCACTCGACTCTACGGACTCATCCGAAGGCAGAGCTGAGAGCGAGTGGCGAGTAGACAGAGGAGTGGCCTGAGGCGAGGAGTACGTGAAGCCGAAGCGCTGAAGGACCTGCTGCACCATGTGTGACTGAGTCAAGGTAATGGTGCGGCGTGCTCTGTCCCGAGTGATCTGCAAGCCAAGGTAGCTGCGCAGTTCACCCAGGTCTGTGCACGTGTGTCTCTTCTGCAGCTCGGACTTCACGTAGACGAGTCCAGCAGAGTCTGCTGTGGCAAAGACCAAGTCGTCGACGTACACGAGGATGTAGAACGGCGGCAGAGAAGTGTCGGTGCGCAGAAAAAACGACGGGTCAGCAGTAGAGGGAGCAAACCCAAGAGCCGCAAGCGTAGTCCTCAGTGTGTCGTGCCACTCACGCGGTGCCTGGCGGAAACCGTAGACTGGCCGTCGGAGGCTCCACTGGGTGCCAGGAAGGAAAGTCCCGGTGAAGCCAGGTGGGCGGCGCAGCCAGATCTCCTTTTGCAGGTTGCCTTGCAGGAAAGCTGTGCTGAAGTGAAGAGAGTGAAGCTCGTAGTCGCGCTGAGCGGCTATGTGCAGCAGCACCCGAAGAGTGGTCATCTTCGGGGTGGGAGAGAAGGTCTGAAAGTAGTCAACTCCCTGCCGGTGACTGAAGCCACGAGCCACGTACCGCGCCTTGAAGACAGGTGGAGAGCCCGGCGGCCGCTTCACCCTGAAGATCCACATCCCACTGACGATGTTCGCCCCAGGAGGGGGGACAGCGTCAACGTAGGTGCCTGTGGACTTCCAGGAAGCCATCTCTGCATCCATAGCTGCCTGCCACTGAGAGGAGTAGGGACCCTCTACGGCCTCCGCGTAAGAGCGCGGAGTCGGGATGTCTAGTGCATCCGGGTCTCCCTCAGGGGCAAGCAGTACAGACGCGAGATGAGGTGAAGCAGTAGCCAGACACTGAAACTCCTCCTGTGTGTCCTCAAGGACGTCCATGCCAAGAGCAGACTCACCCCCGACGGACGGAGGACAGACAGACGCAGACTCAGCAACAA